CTTCTCCTTACACTTCCATCTTCTCTTTTCCTTTTTCTACCTCTATTCTTGTTCATATTCTTGTTTAATGGTACCCTTTTATCTGTTCTATGCTATATTTCTTTCATCAAATTCAATTTTATATATTCCTAATTTCTACATGTATATATATTCTAATTATCTAATACCACATGCTAATAACTACAAAGCTCTACAGCGACGTTCTACTAATCTAGCAAATTGATTACAATCTACTTTGTATTATACTCTATGTTATTCCTTATGCTCGTTCGGTCAGCTCTCTTTTTTTTAGTGTATGCCTCGATGATTCCTTCTAGTTCTCACAGGGCTCTCTATCGAACTCTTCGTCGTTCTTGCCTGATTTAGTTCTCCCTCTTTTCTGCCTCTTCTCTTCCCGTCAAGAGGGTTTACTATGGCCCTGCCTAACCTCAATTCCCTCTTTCTAATTTCCTTTTTAATTCCTTCTATTTCTTACCTATCTATCTCTTCCTTTTTTCTATCTTTTTAGTTCCACTCCTTTACTCTTTGCGTCTCGAGTTTCTCTCACACTCGCATTCAATCTCTTTATCGCTTTTACTATTAACTCTCGTGAATGCACAACTTCACTACCGGAAACAGAAGCCTTGTTCTGTATACAAGGTATCTATTAAGTAAGGTCGGAGCCGCATTGGGGGTGTAGAATGGATCAAGAGGAACAAAAAATCTTATACCATTTTGTAATTTTCGCAATAGTTAACAAGATATTAATTACTAAAAATGGCCGAATATTGGTCTTCTATAATATAATTTTTTTTTCAAATACTATTAATTTTACAAAAAGCTATAAGAGATAAAAATTATTTATACTTTTCTTATAGAACTCTAAGAATTTTTTCAGAATTTTTTAATACTGCATTTTCTTATTATTATCATGAGAAAATACGGTATTAAAAAATTCTGAAAAAATTCACAGAACTTTATGAGAAGAAAATAAACAATTTTTGTCTCTTACAGTTTTTCTGTAAAGTTGATAATATTTGAGAAAAAAATGATTAAAGATCAATATTCGGCTATTTTTAGTAATTAATATTTTGTTAATTATTGCGAAAATTGCAAAATATAGTATAAAACTTTTTTGCTCCCCTTGACCCATTCTACGCCCCCAATGCGGCTCCGACTTTACTTAACAGACACCCTAATACATTTTCATTAAAAAATTCATGAGACTGAGCTAATTTTAGGACCGGCAAAGGTGAAACTCTTCTTAAAGACATGTTCAAGATATCTAAAAGACATCTTTTAGATTTCTTTACGATATATTATATATTTCCAAGATATCTTTAAGATATCTTTAGGATATCTTTAGGATATCTCTAAATATCTGAAAAATATCTGTTGCATAACATATCTTTTAGGCACCTAAAAGATGTTTTTTCGTAAAAAAAATCAATACATTCAATATCGCAAGACATAGTAAGGTATCTTTTAAAAATCTGAAAGACATCTTTTTGTCCATCTAGGCTACCATTAAACTTACTTTTTAAATTTTATTTTTTATTTTGTACATCGATTTTTAGTTCAAGGTATAAAAATATGTATTATATATTACTTAATTTTAATTTTTATATTTTTAATTTTATATGCCTACTTATTTTTGCTTTAAGAATGTTACACGTTATGAATAACTTTCTTCAGTAAGTAAACGCGTAATGATAAAAAGTTACTTTTCAAAGTAACTTTTTCAAGCTTAGCACAAATTTAGTGTGTACCCAAGTAGCACACAGCGCTTAACAAAGCGTTAACAAAGCACTAAAAAGCGCATATAATCACTTTTTTAGCGCTTTACAAGCGCTGCTGTGCTACTTATGTAGTCAGTTATTGTTACATTCATAAAAAAATTGCAACATTGTTATCAAGTCGTTATTATAAACGACTGTAATGATAAAAGTTACGGCGTTACTTTACTTCCAATCTCTGCTTTTTTTTATATAAACGTACTTTTTATGTTCCTTTTTAATTAGATATTTAGTCAGATGATTTATAAAATAAGAAAATAATCACAGACAGATTTTTAATTATAGAAATTTAAATTTTAGATGGTCTGTTTATCAGTTTTTTAAATATACCAAGTAAGTATTCACTAATAAACTAATTCGTATTTTAAAAAGTCTTAAGAGTTAACTATGAATGTAGATATAAATTATAGTTAGAATTATTTTTTTTTTTCGATAACATTAACTTAATCTTATTCCTTTTCTCAATCTGTAATTATTACTTAACTTGACCTGCGGCATACGATACTTGTTTTTCTGCTGGATTTGCATTGACTACGGTACTAACAATGCCGGTACCACCGCAACTAGTATAGTAGTAAAACGCAAATTTCACGGTTGTTAACTTTCTCGTTACATTGCCAAGGCAATGCGATGACTCTAAATGATCTCCGAAAGATTTTAGCATTCGTTTGTTGATTGTTAAAAAGTTATTAAAATCAATATAGACAATTCAACTTCGATGACTTTGATTTTCATTTACATTATGGAAGTCATGATCTCGAATGACTTTCACAAGGTTTTAGCTACCGCTTGTTGTATGAAATTATTAAATATGCAGTATATTACTCAATTCCGTAGATCTTGACTTTGACATATATTATCACGGTCATGACCCTGAGTGATCTTTAAAGGATTTTGACAGTCGCTTATTGATTGTTATTAGATTGTAATAAGAAATTATTAAAAAGTAAAACTGACAATTCAGCTCCAATAATCTTGATCTTTATATACGTTATGAAGGTCATGATACCAAATCATCTTTGGAAAGGTTTAACAGTCACTCGTCGCACGTTAAAAAGTTATTAAAAATGAAATGGAATTTAACTTCGATGATCTTGACTTTGACATGTATTGTCAAGGTCATGACCTTGAATGACCATCGACAATTTTAGGTCGTTATTTATTAAAAAATTATTAAAAAGTAAAGTAAAAAAATTGAGATTGACTAAAGTCCAAAACGTAATCCATGAGTCGGGCAGACAATATCGATAATATTAATGACAATGACAATAATGTTCCTTAAAATTTTTAACAAAATTTGGAGTTTGTCACAATATCTCTGCTCGTAGGGCACATAGAAAAAAATAAAGGTACTTTCATAATACGATTTGAGTACAAGAGTTATTGATTGAACATACAATTTGATCGGGAAAGCCATTATTGAAATGTAATAATCGAGAACTCGGAAAACTCATCGATCCGCGTAAAGATATGGTAGTGACTTCCGCTACGCTATTAAACGCTACGCGTTCTCTTAATACCAAGCTACTGCCATATCTCTAGATCCATGTGTGTACCGTGAAGGTCACATGATCGGATTTACGCTTCTTCAGGATGCTTGATTAAGAATCCGACGATGCTATATCTCCACGTGATATATCTTGAATAATACAATACTAATACCAGCAATACAAAAATTTTGAAATATAACTAAGGAAGATCTTGATTAAAAAGTTTATAACCAATGTTTCGAAAATGTAAGCTACAAGAATATTTAGTAAAAAATGAGGGAGTTCTATTTAAAAAATTTTAAATTTTTATTTTATATTTTTATTTTACATTTTATTTTAAATTTTTATTTTACATTTTATTTTAAACTTAGAGATTTTGAAAAAATTGACTGAATAAATTGAATAAATTGATCCATCTTGTATATACAGGGTGAGAGACATTTAAAACGGGTCACCTGAATAACTCACTTGTTTTTAACAATAGAAAAAAAGTGCCTAACAAAAGTTGCATGGTTTCAAGAGGGATATGTTTTGGTCATATTGTCTTTCTTTTAATTGGAGGCGCTAGAAAGATATGAAAGTCACCTCCATTTTTTTAAACGGAATTGTATAATTTTTCTTACACAATATATAGTTCCTCTAATTTTTCTGTATGTAAAAGTATTAAAATAGTAATATCAAAAAACCATTAGTTTATAAGATATTTTATACTTTATTCTGTCACATGTTGGCATAAAATATTAAATATTTCGTAAACTATTAATTTTTTCATAATCGTACCTTAATACTTTTATGAACAGAATAATGAGATGAATCGATTGATGGAAAGAAAACACATAGGTGCTTTAAAAAAATATGTATGCAAAATGGATAATTTTTAAACAAGCAACTATGTGTTTTTTATCCACTAATTGATTTAGCTGTATATCGTGTTTAAAATAAAGCGTTACAAATTTTTATCTCGGAGACACGGCATTATTGAGAAAAATTATTCAGATAAAAGTTGTAGGGTTCACAAAGGTCTATTTACTGATTTTGTCAGTTTAATCTTAGATGGCATCATCAAGGTCAGGTTAAGATCACATCGATGTTTTTAAATAGAACAACTGACTTTTCATAATTTAATAGCTGATGTCGAGAGCTTTCCAAAACACTATAAAAAAATATTTTTCAATTAGGTACTTTTTGAGTTATGATGCTCGAACGTTACAGTACCGCCAGCATTAACATTATACAAGGTATCCAATCGACGGTTAAAACCTCTTGAATGTTGTTCAAGATCATGTCCTGAATATTATTTGTTAGCCATTCAAAGCTATTAGAGATTGTATCTCTTATTTTGATTTTTACGTAAAAATGAATTTTTAGTGCAACCTTCTGTATTGTAATCTTTAAGCATCATAACTCGAAAAGTACTCAATAAAAAATAACTTTATTATAATGTTTTGGAAAGCTCTCGACACGTTATTAGATTCTAGAATCAAAAGTAGGGTGTTCTATTTTTTAAAATCGACGTGACTTTGACTTGGCGACGCCACTCAAAGTCAACCTGATAAGATCAGTTAATAGATTTTTTGGTACCTTACAACTTTTGTCTGAACAATTTTCTCAATAATACCCTGTTCCCGAGATAAAAATTTGTAACGCCGGTATATATTTCAAAAATATTTTTTGCGACAATTAGAGAACAATTAATGTTAATATCTTTCATATCATTTTATATATCATGTTACAGGGTTCCTCGGGGTATTTAAAGCGTGCAAATACTGAACGGCTCCATGAAATTTTTAACCAGGTAAATAAGTGCTTGAATATAAATTATTAGGATTATATTCGAACTTTCAGCGATTTTTACAATAACATTTTTAATAATTTAAAATATTTGTCATTGTTTTTTATTAATTGTTAACTAAATATTTCTTCTTTTTCTCTCAATTAATTTATGTGTTATTTCTCTAGGAAAGAATATAGTTCGTTAAGAAAAATTAATCATATTTAATAAATTGTAATTAGTGAAATTTTAGCTTAAATTTTCAACATTTTTATATTGTTATTTTATAACTCAAATTGTCATATAATTTTTTTTATTATATTCTCAGTTTTTGGATTTTTCTTAAAAATATCTACTAGTAGAATTAACTTTTTGTTATTTTTTTAACTATCATAAGGTAGGATCATTAATTTATAAATATGCACAATATACATACATACAGGGTGTCTCAGTAATTCTGTTACAAGGCAATATTTCCGTTACCGTTAATGATACACGAAAATGCCTAAGGAAGAAATTGTTTGATTCGCAGGGACATACATTATGGAGAGAATTATTTCTTTCTCAAGGTCATATTTTGAGAGCCTTCAAGGTCATTGATATTTTTTTAAATAAGACTACATATTTTTATCATTGTAGCGTAATAGCTGAAGTCAAGGCGAATCCAATGGCTTATAATACCATAATCTTCACGTGATCTTGAGTATGAAAAATTCAGAAATTTTAAGGAATAGGTGAGAATAATGAAATAAGTACAATAGAAAGTTTGACATAGGAAAATTTATTGTAATAAGTATTCAAAATTGTTTCCATGGACTTCTAAACATTTGTTAATTTGAGTATTAAACGAACGTCGCGAATATTTGGGGTGTTACAACAGCACAAGCTTGTCGGATTCTTTCTTTTATGTTGTCACGTATCGTAGTAGTTCTTTGTCGAAGAAATTTTTTTTTTGATAAAGCCCCATAGAAAGAAATCTAGGGATTAATATCAGGAAAACGTGGCGGCCAAGGAGTCAGACTTTTTCCTCTCTCTATCCATTTATTTGGATATAAAATATTTAATGCATTGCGAGAAGAACGAGCGTAATGTAGCGTAGCATCATCTTGTTGAAATAATACAATATAACCAGACGTAAGGATAGGAGAACATCTTCTAATAATGACGGAAGTGTATTAAGCAAAAAATTTGTGTACGTATTGCTATTAAGAGTCGTGTCAAAAAAATAGTCCAATTAGATTAGTCACCCAAAATACCACATCATACATTCAACGACCAACGGCGTTGAAACTGCACAGTTTGCATTCATTTAGGATTTACTAGAGACCAGTATATCTATATTGTGTCGTTTCGCAGCTCCAGTGTTATTAAATATAGTTTTATCTAAAAAAAAGTATTTTTGATAGGAATGCATCATCCTGAGTTGATTTTTCTTGTATCCAATTACAAAAATTTACTCTCTGGATAAAATCGTTTCCAGTCATTTCTTGATGTAAAAAGATGTGATATGGGTGTATCCTATTATTACGTAAAATCCTTGAAATAAAAGATTTACCGATATCACTATCTCTACTTAATTGTCTAGTAGACAGGTAGATTTAGTGCAATTGCTGCCAAAACATTCGTAGCATTATTATTATTTGTTGTAGGACATATTTTTTCGTGTTTTGGCAGATAAAAAGAGTTGTGTCATCGAAGACGATCTTCTATATGCTTAAATGCCATGTGCGATTTCGCTGGTCTCTCTGGATCTCTGACTACATAGAGCTCAGCAGCACGTTTGTGGCAATTTTGTTGGCACTCATCTAATACCAGCAACATATCTATGGAATCGTTAATTGCGTCCATTTTTACTCAAAACTTCCTCGATGTGAGTTTCCTCTCTGAAATACCGAACACTAACGATAACTTTATTTATACATATATATACCCTCGAGTAGTAACCTTCATAGTTTAGTATCAAGGACATGTTCATTGACATCAAATTTAAGCATGTTTGTGCCATACCTGCTCCCACATCTTTTTACATCAAGAAATGACTGAAAACAATTTTTTTTACAGAGAGTAAATTTTTATAATTGTATACAAGAAAAATCAACTCAGGATGATGCATTCCTGTCAAAAATATTTTTTTCAAACGAAACTACATTTAATAATATTGGAGCTGTGAATCGACACAATATGCATTACTGGTCTCCAGTAAATGCTAGATGGATGCAAACTGTGCAGTTTCGACACCATTAGTCGTTGAATGTATGGTGTGATATTTTGGGTGACTATCTAATTGAACATTTTTTTGACACGACTCTTAATGGCAATACGTACATACATTTCTTGCTTAATACACTTTCGTCATTATTAGAAGATATTCCCCTATCTTTATGGTTATGTGGTTTCAATAAAACTGTGCAGCGCTATATTACGCACGTTCTTCTCGCAATGCATTAAATATTTTATATCCAAATAAATGGGTAGGAAGAGGAAGTCTGACTACTTGGCCGCCATTCTGATATTAATTCCCTAGATTTCTTTTTATGGGGCTTTATCAAAGATAAAGTTTTTTTGACAAAGTCTAGTATGATACGTTACAAATGTTTAGAAGTCAATGAAAGAAAGAATCCGACAAGCTTATGCTGTAACACCCCAAATATTCGCAGATATGTGACATTCGTTTAATACTCAAATTAACAAATGTTTAGAAGTCATGGAAATAATTTTGAACACTTATTACAATAAATTTTCCTATGTCAAACTTTCTATTGCACTTATTTCATTATTCTCACCCATTCCTCAAAATTTCTGGATTTTTCATACTCAAGGTCACGTGAAGATTATGGTATTATAGACCATTAGATTCATCTTGACCTCAGCTACGTAGGTTGCTGGAAAAGTTTCTGCAAACAATATGAAAAAAATATGTAAAATTCGGTAAATGGCTTTATTGTTTTTCGAAGTATTCGCCTTTAAGATCGATACATTTTTGCATACGCTCGAACTAATTTTCGAAGTATTTTTTCCACTCTAAGACTGTAATCTCAAAAATCAGTGTATGAAATGTTTCAACAGCTGCTTCAGGCGACTCAAATCGCTCACCACGCATCTTATTTTTAATGTTTGGGAACAAAAAGAAGTCATTAGGTGATAAATCAGATGAATACGGACAAAATCATCAATTCACATTATTACTGGATAAAAAAATCAACGGTTTGACGTGCTGTGTGACAGCTGGCGTTGTCATGGTGAAGGATGATGCGACGATTTCGGTTTGTTCTACTCAATTCATTATGACTTCTGGCAAACAAATTGTTGTATACCAATCAGTATTTACAGTCCTTCGATCCTTTAAAGCCACGTTGTCACATGTCCGAAGAAACAAGCATTTGCTTGGCAGCACTTTGTGCAACTTTTGTTAGTTTCGGTTCATTTTGAAATACTCAAACAGTGGATTATTGTTTACTTTCGGGCTCATACGAATAGATCCATGTTTTGTCCCCAGTAACGATGTTGTAGATCAAATTTGATCGACCTCGGTTGAATTTCTTGAGCATTTCTTTGCTCTATTTAACACGAGCCTGTTTTTGAGCTTCGGTTAAATTGTGTGGAATCCAATGACTGCAAAGTTTCCGTACGCTCAAGTGATCATGCAAAATCGTATGTATTACTTTCATGTCAATGCCTAAGGATCTTGAATCTCGCGGTATGTTATATGCCGGTCTCGCGCAATCATTTCACGCACAGCATCAACATTAGTGGTAACAGACGTGGATGGATGACCTTCACGTAATTCATCACTAAGGAAGGTACGTCCACGCTGGAATTCGGCAAACTAATTATAAACAGTCCTATTGGATGGTGCTTCATCCCCAAAAGCCAAATGAAGTCGATCGATGCATTGATTCGGAGTTAGATTACATTTGTAATCGTAAAAAATCATTGCCCGAAAATTTTCACGCGAAATTTCCATTTTCTTACAAAATAAATTCTTTAAAAATACTATACAAACAAAACTAGTTGGCTTGGGTACAAACTGTCAATTGAATTATAGGTTAAAAACGTCTAATTTTACGGATGTGATAGTAGCAGAACATTGGTACCATTGGAAGTATAATTACTAGATTGCAGAAACTTTTCCAGCAGTCTACGTATTATTATACTATTATTACGCTATAATGATAAAAATATGTAGTTTTATTTAAAAAATATCGATTACCTTTTAAAGACTCTCAAAATATGACCTAGCGAAAGAAATAATTCCCACCATAATATGTCCCACCTTTAAAACAAACAATTTCTTCCTTAGGCATTTTTGTGTATTATTAACGGTACTGGAGATATTGCCTTGTAACAAAGTTACTGGGACATCCTGTATAGAAATTTTGCTTTTTTTGTGAAATTACAGTACGCCTCACAGGAGAAGAATGGCGAGAGGTTCATGACTGCTTCTGACTTTGTACGCAGTTATCTTGGCCTTTACACGGATGCCGATTATAATCCCGATTCTGTCAATTTACTTGCTGGTATCGTCGATACTAGCAAAGATGGGTAAGTCGTACATTGACAGCGTATTTAAGAAAGACATCACTATTGTACAATCATGGACACAGAGGTTGTTACACAGAGGTAATGTCTTTATTTCTGTGTGAAGCTGACCCACTTTTTAAAATTTAGAAAAAATATAGTTCTTATTGCCCTTCGAAGAGTTGTAGAATTCTCTATCAATTTTAGAAAGAGTTTTGTCGATTAAAGCGATGAAAACACTAATTTGAAGTAGGGGGATAGCCAACTTCACGATTTGAAGGGTTATATTTAGTTTCTTTATCTTTCACTTAACGTTTTGATATATATAGAACAATCGATAGAATTTTTTGGATGAAGGAAGGGGGGGGGGAGGGTTATCAGACTCAAGAAAATACCGGATTTCCAAAGAAATAAAAAAAAATTTTGTTTTAAGAGTTTCGGCATTCTGTTATGAGTTATGATAGCCCTTCGAAGAGTTCTAACGATTAATGAACTTAATAATCAAAGAGCTATGATCGCAAACAAAAAAATTTTAGTGTCTTGAAGTAAAAAAATTTAAGAAATTTAAGATAGTGATGAATTTTGAAACATCTTGTATCTCATCTCGACTATTCTCGTGTCATTTATCGACAAATTTTACGAGACCACTGACTATCATTTATTTTTTCATGTCTCGGTCTCGTATCGATATCGAGACTAAACCTCGAGTTACCCATCCTAACCCAATTGTGCTTCATTTACGCAATTGTTCAGGAACTATTTTTTTTATTAATTAAGGATCTATTAATTAAATATATGTAAACATTTTAAACATTTATTTAAACAATTATAACATTTATTTAACATTTTTAAACATTTATTTATCATATTATAAATAAAAACTTTAATTTATTTATAATATTTTAAACATTTATTTCAACATTTATTTTTATATGTTTATTTACTTTTAATTTATTTACATTTATTTATTTATTTATTTTTATACCATATTTCAACATTTATTGCGTCTAACAAATGCAAAATATTATTTGCTAAGTCATAAGTTAATCAAGAATTTAAGCATAATAACCACCTGGCCAATTCATTAGTTAATTTATTCCGTTATTTTCTTATTAGAAATAAAACTCTGGAAAATAAACGTTTAGCTCAAACAGAAAAGTTGCAGGGATTGCTAAAAAGTCTCTAGCCATGCGAGATAAGTTTGGATAGGTTTTTATATACCTGTGCAACCATTGTAATATGTCTTCGTCTGCGTAAGCACATTCTGCAGAAAAAAAATTATCGATTTCTTGTTTCCAACGTTGATTATATGGACTACATCTTTGCTTGATAAGAACTTTCCGTGTTTTAAAGAAACTGTTCAATTGTATCGATTCCTCATCAGATGATATATTTTCATTATTTTTCATCAATTAAAATTGTATCATTATTTAATATGTTATCTATATCCGTATTCCAATAGTGCTCTTTATAAATTTCCTCAAATTTTTTCAACGAATCATTAGCCATTTCTTTTTCCTATTTAGTAAATTGAAAAGTCTCTTTTTTTATATCGTGGATCAGGAATTAAAACAATGCAGTATATGTAATTCATTTTTCTGTAATGTTTTACAAGTTTATCTCGGGTAGCAACCAGTGCTTCTTGAATATTATAATGTACATGTGAAAGATTATCATCTTCATTGTATTTGACAATTGCTTTTTTGATTTTATCTAATAACATATCAAATGTTAATTAATAACATATTATATATTAATAACATATTATATGTTATTATGCCGTCACGGCGAGGGGCAATGTAACATACTTTTCTCCGTTAAGAATATCAAATAATTGTTAGTACAAACAGAGATACTGAAACCCTTTTGATAATATTTTCCAGTTGTTTTTCGGAAATGCAGAAGTTTTGTAAACATTTGTTGTTTTGATATAGTAGATCCAAAGTTTGTTTCATTTTGAGTGCTGCTTTAAAAGTAAGCGCTGCATTTCAAAAGTAAAGTTCCATCTCGTAGATACATCAAGAATTGGTGTAAGGAGCTTAATATTCTTTGTTTTACAGCAAGCTTAAGTTTATTTCTCAATTGTTTCGAATATTTTTGGAGAGAGATCATAAATTTTGAAGAATGCCTTTTGTCAATTTTCCGCTATTCTCGCTGGTCTTATCATTGTTATTATATTATTTTTATTATTCTCTTTAATGCCATTGCTATTGTCATCTTGTACATCAGATTGCGCGTTAGCTTTTAATACTCGAAGCATATCTTGGATTCCCAAATTAGTGATATGGACAATACATCTAAAATGTTAGTCATCGGGATCGAAATTTTCACCATGTGCAGAATTCATTAAATAAGCAAGTTTCTTTATAAATGTGATATTAGCAGCAATTGTCCACAATAATTCCTTATATTTTTTTCCTCAATCCAAATTGTCCTAATACTTTATAAAAACAGGGCTGGGTAAAATGCCTTTCGAATTCCATTTAAAATACTAATTGTAAAATACTTTTAAAAAGTATATTTAAAATGCAAAATGCAAAATGAGTTTTTCGAATCCATTTTAAATGTAAAATAGATAAATAGGTATTTTAAATAGTTTTCGAATACAAAATGGTTTTTCCTGCTCTAGCGAAAAAAAATTTTTACGACAAAATACAGAAAAACTATATAAATTGACAAAGTCTTAGAAATTCTTAATTTTTCGTAGATATTTGTAGTGAGACATACAGTGAAGTTTGTTTGGCTCAGAAATCCATAATTTTTCGTAGATATTCATAGTGAGACATAGAGCGACGTTGTTTGAAGGCGGAGGATTTCTTGATTTTTCGAACAAACAACGCTACTCTACGTCCCACTACAAAATATCTACGAAAAATTAAGAATTTCTAAGATCTTGTTTCAATCTATATAGTTTTTCATAAAAACTTTCTGTTAGGGTGGTATACATTTTTTAAAAGTATTTTATATTTGAAACGGAATTTGAAGCTCTGACTACAGTATTATAAATAAAGTATTATATTTCTGATGAGAATATTAAAAATTTTTTAATATTATGATTTGGAAACGGCGGGATCGTTTACTTGAATAAATCAAATTAATATAAGAAGCGCTGGTTACGGTCAAGATTAAACGTTAAGAGTAATATTTTTAGGAATATATATAGTGTTCCGGAATCATTGTTATTTCAAATGTATCAGGGATGGTAAGTAAACAGCTCATAGATATTGAGCCGTCCCTGTTCAATCACGCCAGCGGCCGACGGTTTTGTTCGAAACCGTGGGTATATCTCACTCCTGTTCTAATCACGCTATCTATCTCAGATGGTACGCGACCCCTCTTGCGCGACACTCGAAAAGTTGACTATCGCACACACGTTCCGCGTGCGAAAGTTCAGTCCGCTTCCCGATCCTGATCAATACGGATCATTTAGCGAGATTCGCGCTTAACGAATCTTATCCCGAATATTAAGTGCGGACCAAACCGAAGTTTTGTCGCGTATCAACGCTGTATTGTGTCCTGCAACGTTACCGATATACGCCTACTGCGAAGGCATTCAGTGCGCGAAAAATACATTAGTTTCCGGCGATATTCGCCGGTATTATTGCTGCTTGCCATACAAATTCTTTCTAACGGCTGCGAGAAAGGATTCAAAATCATACCAAGTGCGAGTTACATATGCGCGTATCTAACAGAACGAATCAATTCTCGGATTATGAGCATCGTCTACCGCCCGCTTTGAACAAATCTTAATTTCCGACTCAAGAATAAAGTTTAAATTATTACAACAAAGAGAGTTGTTATTTCACGCTACCTTGGCGAGCGAGCTTTCCATACAAGGTGACATCAGCGTCATACCATAACACATTTGGTCCTTCGAGTCAGATCGTCGCCAAGGAAAGTTATTGTTTTGCTTGACTCTCGAACGTTCCGAGTCGTGTCTTTTCTGTTGGAAATCATGTTGTCTCTCGACGAATTGATGAATATACAAAACCAGATGGACGCCATATCTCGCACACTCACTAATTTTAAGAAGCTGGGACAGGCCAAGATGTCACGTGTTATAACCCGGCAACGCCTCGCAACTCTTAAGGAAACCTTTGCCAGATACCAAGAGTTGTAAAATTACGCTAGCTGCGAACGAGAAATTGAAGGTAACCCATGCATACTTCACCCACAATTATTTCCTGACGTATGAGGACTATTACCACGAAGCTGCCGACTACATGGCTGAGGTATTGGACTGTCACGAAGTCCGCGAACCCCGTCCCGCTACACATGACGTAAGTGGTCTCAATAACTCGTTCCAGTTATTGTCGCATCTTCCGAACCGAAACCGTATCGCCGAACTCTAAAATCTTGCTCGAGATCGCGCGCGTGCGAGTTTATTCGCCTCATAAATGTTTTGTCACCATTCGCGCGCTCCTTGATCAGGGATCCATCTCTACATTTATCTCCGAATCGCTTACTCAACACCTACGTCTTTCGAGAATTAATCCCTCCATTTCCATTACCGACATTAGCGAAATGCAGTCCGTCGTGCATCACGCTGCCCAAATTACGATTACTCCGGGACGATTAATCGCGATGGACCTGCCTATACTACGACCATGTTTATATTTTAATCATTAACGAAATATTTATCGAATCGATTCAATACCGCGTACAATTGGAAACACGTCGCAGGACACGAACTTGCCGATTGTGACCTCATAAGTTCGGATCCAATCGACATCATAATCGGTGTCGATCTATTCGGCATGCTCGTTCTACTTTCGACGATGTTCGAAAAGGTTCTGCACATGAGCCTACCGCGCAAAGTATTACTCTCGGCTGGATTCTTTCTGGACCAATAGCCTTGTTTCCGATTACTGAGTCAATTTCCGAGCTTGTGCATCACGACATTGTTTTTGAAACTCTTGATCGCGATCTTCGCACTTCTGGGAAATTGAGGAAGTGTTCAGAAAGCTCCTCGGAGTCTTGAGGAGCACCAGTGCGAAGAGCACTTCAGAGCCACATATTCCCGTACGC